TTTAATTCTGTCGTCTTCTCTGCACGGGGTATAAGGAAACACGCACCAATGAAATTACTACGCCTAGATATAGCTATATTCAGTCAACTGCCGAATAATACCTCCGAGTACCTGACACACATACACACACACACACACACACACACACACACACGCAACACACACACACACACACACACACACACACACACACACACACACTAAACACACACACCGCGCGCCACACACACACACACACACACACACACACACACACACACACACACACACACACACACACACACACACACACTCACTCACACAAACACACACACACAAACACACACACACACACACAACACACACACACTCACACACACACACACACACACACACACACACACACACACACACGCACACTCACATATACACACACACACACACACACACACACTTGTTGGTCGCTCGAACACACACACAGTACGATGTACTAACACACACACTTGTCGAGTTCAAATGTGCACACTCGTGTTTTGCATGTTGCGCCACCGTGGGCCCGCCCGACCCGGCCCGGCCCGGCCCGTGCCTTTCTCACTGCACTGCACTGCGTGTACCGTCCCGCGTTTAAACTCCTAACTATCAACTGACCTCAAATAGCTAATATTTTTTTTATAGCACAGGGGACAAACGAAATTGCGGCTCACCTGATGGTAAATGATTACGCCGCCCATGAGCACCCGCAACACCAGGGGAATTGCAAGTACGTTGTTGGCCTTTTTAAGAAGGAATAAGCTATTTTTCTTGAAGGTTTCAATATCGTATCAGTTCGGAAATACCATATAAGGTGATTCCACAATGTGGTTTATATATAAAGTTTCTAGAAAACCGCACTGTGGAGGACCGCCATTCATCCAGATGATCAGGATGGTATTTTAAATATTACAATATATTTTATTGTGTTTCGTGTTGACTTTAATAATTGTAGCTAATATAAATATTTTAATAAAGTTCTTTTACTATTAAGAATCTAACAAAGCTTCTTAATAGTTTTGCTCAAATTGAATAAATTACATATAAACTTACACTGTTCGTCGCGTTCAACATGGCGATGCGATGGCGCGGTACGTCTTCGTGTTAGATTAGATTAGATTGTTCTGAACGGTCACTGTCACTGATATCTAGACACGCGGTAGCGTGTCAAGCCGAGTTTCAAGTAACTGGCGAGCAGCACCGTGTGTATATTTATTACACGAACCATTTGGAGCCACTTTTGACCCCCTCATAACTCAAAAACTCTTTCACATAAACCTGTCAAATTTGGTTCATATATTGAGACTTGCGAGATAAATATGTGTTCCAAATTTCATAAACATATCTCAAACGGTTATTTAGATATTAATGTCCAAAAATCGTCATTTTTATCACTGATCAACTATAGATCAAAATTATAACCCACTTCCAGATGACCTAGGAAGTTCAAATTTGGCATGCAGATAGGTAACTGAAACTGGTAAATTGTTATCATTTTACTATAATTTTTTTTTTATTCTAGCTTATACTGGACGAATACTAAAACTATGAAAACGTCGATAGCCACCAATTGACATTGATCCCTGAAAATGCTCATCTTGTACTGGACGGAAAGTAATATTGTATGAAAACGTCGATCATTACCAATATACGTGGACCCCTTCACATCTGTGTCGATAACTAGCAAACTTCAAATATTGCATTGAGCGGTAAACACTAGTTGCTATAATTTAGATTCTGTCTAAAATATACTCGTACCAGATGGTGAATTTCGTATTTATTATGTTATTAACTGAGATTTGGTATTAATTATTGTTTCAATATTTAGCGCACTCGATAGTGTAAGATCATTATTTTTATAAATAATTATTCAATAATAGGCATTTCGGTATAGGATGGATAAAATTTTAACCTATAAGGTTGCGATTTATTACAATAGATTTTAAATTATACTTATATATTTGTGGTTATATTATTATTACATTATTTTAGTAAATATATATATATTTTAAAAAAAATTAATAACAATTTTAGTATAGTTATAAGTAGGAATGTATAGTTAACGAGAATGAGAACTCATTGGTCACAAATTGTTTTCTTGAGAATTCAGTAGATAACAGTCAATTTGTTACATAATAAATATAACGTGTCAATAAAGTTTCAGATATTAAATAATGTATATGTTGACAGAGAACAATTACGTATTTGCTTACATATGCTATTACTATCCACAAATCACAAGGCCTTAGTTTTGGCAGTCCTCTTCTCAACATAGGCTCCTCTATATTTAATAAAGGGCAGGCGGAATCTACAGTTAAAACCTTCGATGTTACGTCTTAACAATTTAGATCCAAGTCATCGAGATTGTTCTGAACGGTCACTGTGTCATTTGCCCAAAAATTCCTGATACTGAATTTTCTTGAACATTTAAAAGTTACAAGAAAATATAGAAAATTACAATTGAAAATAAGTAATTTATCAAAAATAATTTGGTATTAATTTAGTTATAAATAAGTACCGTATAATTTATTTGATATCCCATCAAAAACATAAATGTGAAATGAACAGTTTAATATTATGATATATGCCTTGATTGTTGACTTCTACGACAAAAGAGATGAGATCTAAATTGGTGCCAAGTTCAATGGTCTGTACTGAAATGTATTTATAACAAAATAAAATCATTTCTTCTTATAACTTAGGATAATATACTGGTAAGGTCTAACTTGGCTAGTTTTGATCATAATATTAACACACACACTCATTTATGTTTTTGATGGGATATAATTATTTTCGTATGTTATTACAATTGAAAGCCGTATTTGATCTCGATGAATATAGTATATGTGGACCGCAGGTTGTTCAGGACCCGAAGGTATTAGCGCGCATACAGTAATGCTCTATTTTGGAGTCGCGGCTCCGTGCGTGCGGCGAAATAGTCCGTGAATCGGATCGCTTCCCGCTCTCATTGCGGCCGAGCGCCGACAGTTACTTTGGTTGTTGAACTTCTGTTCGGCTGCGGCCGCCTACTTATAGTGCGAACACCTCTCAAGGTCACCAGATACATTTTTTATTGCATTTTCGCCACAATAGTTCATCTAATCCATTGAATGTACCCCCACGTCTCCACTCGTACATATAACGATTGCCCGATACCGGCATTTCCCGTTCCCGTGGGAATTAAGAAAAGAGTCTGAGTATTACGTGCTTATCAGTTTATCTTAGACATGACTATCCAATTAACAAAGATCTCCGTTGTCCGCTACTTCGTACAACGGACGGACCAAACTATCTCATTACCGGCTGGTTGTTACACTGGACTAATACTTAAGACTACTTAAATATATTATTTGCCTCAATACCTAATACCACTAAACCCTATTGTGTACTCATATTCTTTTTGCTGCTGTTCTGCAAATCAAAATTAAAATAGTAGATCTGAGTTCGATTGACTATATTACGTAATATATAAATGTCACGTAAAGTTATTAATATAGTTAATACATATTATATACGTGAGTGTTACATATGTGGTAGTGTCGCGGAGCCGGGAGCGCGGCCCGACGCGGCTCCTTACTAGTGTGTTGACCGTTGCCCTCTGACCCATAACACGTTCTGACCTATTTCTATTGCACAGTTTGTATGTGAACAGCCGCGAGCCGCCAGCCGACCTGCAACTTAGATATGTTAATGTAAGCGGCGAGATTGTTATTGTACGCATGTGAATACGGCAACCAGGTTATGAGATGGATACAGTTAGTCGCCGGTGACGTGCTCACGCCGGTGCCGCCGCCGCCGGACGCACCACGCACCACGCACCACGCACCACGCACCACGCACCACGCACCTCAAACGCCGGACCTATACATTACATTACATTACATAGTAATAGAAAACAAAGTCGCTGTCTACTTTTGAAGCGATTTTTTTGTAATAGGTGATTCAAGAGAAAGGTTTATATATATAATAGTATAAAACACAGACCCCCCAATTAAACCAATTAAGTACTCGAGGGAAAGGGGATTGTTAGTAATGTGGACTCATAGCCCCATTACTAGCAATGTACCATTTCAAGTTGACCTCCATGCGGTTTCCCCTGGAAACCAAATTCCTGGTGAATTTATCACGATGAACCAACTGACCTGAGCTCGTGCTCATCTTATCATCCCCACTGGTGCCCCGCCAGCGTAAACCGCGCAGGCGATAGCACCATTATATTATCATCCATAAAAAAAACTAATTGTGTACTGCCTACAATATTAGTAGATCGCGCATGGATTGCACGCGTGGCCTCGCAGCGCGGATTTTTAATCAAAACAAATAATGACAGAGACGACACAAGACAACAAACATGAACAGCATGTCCTTAATTATATCGATTATATGTGATGACACGTGACCCTGGCGCCGCGTGTGCAATATGTGTATTATGAAATATATAATAGGTTACATGTCTCATATTACATTTATTAAGTACTTATTAAGTACTTAATATATTAAGTACTAGCTGTACCCGTGACTTCGACCGCGTGGAATTTAACTTTATTTTCTAAAATAAATGCCTAAGTTATACCGGGTACCTGCCAAAAAAACGTCCGACAGACGGACAAAAATCGTAAAAAATGTTATCTTGGTGTATATATCGTATTTATATACATATATTATATTTTATATATTCTATATAAAATGTAATATATAAATTATATATTCATATGCATGGAGTAAAAAACGGTTATTTCAATATTACAAACAGACACTCCAATTTTATTTATATGTATAGATGTAAGATAAGCATTTTTGAATAGTCATTATTTTTTTATGTATGCACTCATTTCAATATCACTTGACCATCACACTTGTGTATAGACAGGTAAACCTCTTACCAGACATTACTACACACTTCAAATGACTTCCAAGACAGATTGTCGTGTGTACCGTGTTACTGTTACAAACGTGAACTGTAGCGTGTCGTGTCGTGTCGTGTCGACCAGGAGCTGTGTGCGAGGCCCTCGTTCCTCGGAGACGAGACAGTGGAGCGGCGCGACGCAGGCGACGCAGGCGACGACGCAGACTCTACGTCGTCCGACGAATACTACGCAGCCCGGTAACATGACATATATATATATATATATATATATATATAGTGTCTATATAGCACCATTATTACAAAGATTGTGTCGAGCGACGAGACAGTAAGAGAGACCCGGAGCAGCCCAGACACGTGGCTTACTTTATAATGGATCGCAATAGTTGACTGCGTAATGGAGTTGCATCAACGTTCAACGTGTTTTCATTATTCGGTTGGGTCTTGTCGTGTTAATCCCAGGACACTCATAAGGGAGGCAAACTACTAAAGCGTTGCTGACGGAGAACAGGAGGAAGCCTCTTTCTCTTATATTACTTTAATTGATACATGTATGAGGGAACTGATTCATGTATAACAAAGATTTGCACAATTCCTCTGAAGAGCTGAACAGGCTTGCTACCTTGCTGTCGCCCGTGTGCTGGGTGGCGTGTGTATAGAGTGTGTGGTGACCGCAGGTGGGAGGTGGGGGAGGCGGGCGAGGTGTCGGACGCGCACGTGTGCGGCGCAGTGGCCGCGCTGGCGCTCACCCCGCGGCTGCTGTCGCCCGTGTGCTGGGTGGCGTGTGTATAGAGTGTATAGAGTGTGTGGTGACCGCTGGGGGAGGCGCGCGTCGCGCCGACGCGCACGTGTGCGGCGCTTCCGCGCACACTGCTGTCGCCCGTGTGCTGGGTGGCGTGTTCAGGTATAGAGTGTGTGGTGACACACACACAGCACGCGCACGTGTCGCTCTCCTGTCGCCCGTGTGCTGGGTGGCGTGTGTATAGAGTGTATAGAGATCAAGTGTGTGGTGAGAAGGTGGGGGAGGCGGGCGTGTCGGACGCGCACGTGTGCGGCATATTTGCTGTCGCCCGTGTGCTGGGTGGCGTGTGTATAGAGTGTATAGAGTGTGTGGTGACCGCAGGTGGGAGGTGGGGGAGGCGGGCGAGGTGTCGGACGCGCACGTGTGCGGCGCAGTGGCCGCGCTGGCGCTCACCCCGCGGCTGCTGTCGCCCGTGTAAAGTGTATAGAGTGTGTAAAAACGTAGGTGGGGGAGGCGGGCGAGGTGTCGGACGCGCACGTGTGCGGCGCAGTGGCGCGCTGGCGCTCACCCGCGGCTGCTGTCGCCTAGAGTGTGTGGTGACCGCAGGTGGGAGGTGGGGGAGGCGGGCGAGGTGTCGGACGCGCACGTGTGCGGCGCAGTGGCCGCGCTGGCGCTCACCCCGCGGCTGCTGTCGCCCGTGTGCTGGGTGGCGTGTGTATAGTGTGTATAGAGTGTATAGAGTGTGTGGTGACCGCAGGTGGGAGGTGGGGGAGGCGGGCGAGGTGTCGGACGCGCACGTGTGCGGCGCACGCGGCGCTCACCCCGCGCTTGTCGCCCGTGTGCTGGGTGGCGTGTGTATAGAGTGTATAGAGTGTATATTGGGGGAGGCGGGCGAGGTGTCGGACGCGCACGTGTGCGGCGCAGTGGCCGCGCTGGCGCTCACCCCGCGGCTACTGGCGCGCGTCGCGCCGCCGCACTCCTTCCGCGCACACTACTGCGGCGCCTTCAGGTAACACACACAGCACCGTGGCGCTCCGTGGGTCTCCATAGCCTTATGTAACCGAGATCGATTCATTGAGAACGTGCATATTTACTGAGATTAGTCTAAAAGGTATTTTACAAACAGAATATAAAAAACGTAAAACTAGCGAAACTGGCTCACGCTGGACTCGCCTGTGTCGTGTCGTGTACGATGTTATCAGCCGAGAACCTCGCCAGCGTCTCATCATATAAACTTTGGTATAGTTTCAGATTTTGGATATTCGACACATGGCGCGAGGTGACCGTGGACGACCGGCTGCCGACGCGCGGCGGTCGCCTCCTGGGCAGCCGCGCCGCGCTCGCGGACGACTTCACGCTGCCGCTGCTGGAGAAGGCGTACGCCAAGTGAGTGATGCACGCCGCCACACGGCTAGCGCCGCCGTCGCACGATCACTGAGCGAGCGCCCCCCGCAGGCTGTACGGGTCGTACCGCGCGCTGCGCGAGGGCAGCTCGGCGCGCGCGCTGCAGGACCTGACGGGCGGCATCGTGCAGAGCTTCTGCCTGCGACGGCAGCCGCGCGCGCTGACGCTGCAGGTGCTGCACTCGGCGGTGCCGCGCTCCACGCTGGTGGTGGCGGCGCCGGGCGCGGCCTGCGTGACCGGGCTGGCGCGCGCGCGCGGCGCCGGCCCGCTGGTGCGGCTGCGCGCCCCCGCCCCCCGCCGCCCGCCCGCCCTGCCCGCAGCCGACCGCGAGCTGCTGCAGCGCGCCGACCACCCCGCCGACTTCTGGTCAGTACCGCGAGGGCCCTGGTACAGTACGAGTTATCGAGTCAATTTCCGCGGTACCTACGATGAACAATGATTAAATCACTAAGAATTCGCTCTTCTCTTTTCATCTCTATTTTTTTTTCCACGAAGACTAATAATTATTAACTAATAAAAGTACATGACATGCAGCACCCCTTAGAGGTATGCAAATAATCAAATTAAAGCATATTCAATTTAATATAAAATTATGTCATTAGATTATGAATACCCACAAATACATTCAAATATCAATATAAATTAATTAATGTTAATATTTATAATTATTAAAAAAATTATATAATGTCATCTATTTAGCATGTAAAATAATCTTTCACTGAGTAAAACCACTTATTTATCAGCCATTTCATTAATTTGTCTTTGAACCATTTTGAACAGAGATTTGTAATTGTAGTTGGTAATTTTGTAAAGTAAGTAAAGTTGACTGCACATTACGTTTATTGATTTATCCTCTCTGCCTCTTAAATTATTTCAAAACAAAATTCAATATTATAATTTTGAATTATAACGGTGGGTGAAGCGTGTACGTATTGTTAATAGGACATATGATAATCTAAGTTGGGAGTACATTAACACGGCGGCGGTGTGGTGTGGTGGTGTGGTGGCGTGGTGGCCGCAGTTCCCACGCTCCACATGAGCGTCGGCGGCCGCGCCTCGCGCCGCCGCCGCTCTATTATTGCCACTCTCACCACTACATTGCAACGCTCCATTAGTTCTACGAGAACCGATCCTAATACCTCAATGCTTCCAATAATATATAATACTTTGCTAATTCACTTTCTGTTATACAATAAACGACTAAATAATAAAAAACAGTTCATGGCAGAACATGTCTCGGTTGTGCAGTGAGAACGTCATAAGTAAGTTTGGCGCCTTGAGCGTAACAGACAGTTAGTGTGTGGCGCTATGTATACATATACATTGTATATATATAGTAATTGTGCATAATTATTTGAGTGTAGAGACAAACCGCGAGCCAGAGGCCTTTTTCATGAATTATTTCCTGTGGTAAGTTTACAAAGTGGTTATGATGGTTGTGTTCCGAGTATCACGCTTAGTGAAAGTCAGGTGCGGTATCAAATGTGAGTTGAGAAACAGCACCTCACAGAAGACAACCACATTACAGTTATATCATAATTTTAATTATTCAAAATATCATCATAAATTATCATTAGAGAAATTTTAGAGTGAGAGGAAACCATAAATATTGTTGGTATATTCGTGCTATCAGCTGTCGTATACGTACACCACGCTGCAGCCGGCTGATTTATTATCTTCTATATATAGGTTTAACTATGATTTGAACCAGGAGAATATGACTGAATTTTTGCTAATATGTTTGCGAGGGTGCTGCTGTTTTACCTTGCCGGCCCACCCTCGTGAACCCACCTGATTTTCACTAAGACACAACTCATATGTGTCTTATAATTTTTGGACTTCATGACGTAATCGGACACGTCCCTGGCTCGCGGGCTACGCGTGGCTCAGATACGAGGTCGCGTACTAATGAGACATCGGGCCGGGCGGCAGGATGTCGTTCGCGGACTTCGCGCGGGAGTTCAGCCGGCTGGAGCTGGTGCACGTGGGGCCCGACGACTGGACCGGCGAGCCCGCGCTGCACGCCCGCCGCCCCTGGCGCGCCGTGCTCGCCCGCCGCCGCTGGCGCGCCGGGTACAACGCCGGCGGCCCGCCCTCCTGCCGCGGTCAGTGCAGCCCCGCCCCCGCCCCCGCCCCCGCCCCGCCCCCGGCGACACTCACGCGCCGCTCTCTGTGCAGACACGACGGGCACCAACCCGCGGTTCCACGTGCAGATCCCGCGCGCGGAGGCGGGCGGCGCGCGCAAGTGCCACGTGGTGGTGTCGGTGACGCAGCAGTACGCGCCGGCCGCGCGCCGCCTGCACGCCGTCGGGTTCGCGGTGTACGAGCTGCCGGCCGCCGCCGCGCCGCGCCCCGGCTCCCCGCTCGGCCTGGTACGCCGCCCGCCCCCTCCCCCCGCCGCCGCCTCGTCCGCCCCACACTAACCTGTCGGTCCGTGCAGCGCGCGCTGGACGTGACGCACGAGAGCCGCGCGCGCGAGGTGGTCACGTTCTTCACGCTGCCGCCGGGACAGTACCTGGTGGTGCCGCACACGCGCCGCCCCCACACTGACGCCGCCTTCCTGCTGCGCATCCTCACCGACCAGCACACAGACGTCTGGTTAGTGCACGCGCACCTATGAAATTATAATATTATAAAGTTTTTTTATGTAACCAGAATGGCAAACGAGTTGATGCGTCCCCTGATGGTAAGCGGTGACCGTCGCCTACATACATGAGCAGCACTAAGAACATTTCGTTATTATATGACAATCGTGATGTCTCTTGTGAGTTGATTGAAAGCTAGGATCATTCCAGGACTCTAAGATGATTAAAAAATTAAAAAATAATAAAATAAATAATTTCATGTAACTGCCTAATCTACACTCTTCAACGGAATCGTAGCTCACGTAGCAAGCTGCTTGTTGACTGAAATAAATGAGACTAGGGTAGACTTAAAATCTGTTAAATCTTAAATGTAGAAGACTGTCCATCGCAATGTCTCGTCTCGTCTAACTGCTGTTGGCCTGGCCTGTTTACCCTACGTTATGACAGCTTTTCTAATCTTTCTCAGGGAAGTAAATGAGGACAACATGATCATCAGAGACATATCGTCAGAGTTTTTGGAAGACGAGCACACTATACCGGTAATATGAGATTTTATTAACTTTTGTCGTTGTGGAGTCGTCTCTGTCTATGATAGCTATCGCAGTAGTCGAAATGGAACCGTCAGTAGCTTATGAACCGTTACTAACTACCGTAGGACGGTACCTACGTAAGGTAGGACGGTAGTTAGTACATTATAAAATAGTAATCTATATATGTGTGATACCAAGTAAATACATTTAACTTAAAATAAATATAATAAATATTATGTCATCGAGCCAGAAACAACCAAAAAATATTATTCAAAATAATTTATTCGTGTAGAACATTTTAGTCGTTTATGAACGTCAAGTTTATTGTAGATATTCATATTTTTTTTCTTGCAGCTGGACTGCAGATTCAAAAATATTAATATATACACTAGATAAATACTACCACTAGACAAATTAATTTTAATTTTAATTAATTGTGTAATGAACTTGTGTCGATATCTAATATATAAAATTCTTGTGTGACAGGTTGCGTGTATATACTCCTCCGAAGCGGCATGACCGATTTTATATGTATGTTCAGTAGGTCTCAGTCTCAGAATAGGTTTATAACTAATTTTTGTAGTCAAAAATTTTTTTTGGCTTTTTTTATATGACTTTATAAATATATTATACAACCCTAAATTTATCATATCAAATCGATTTAAATGACTGTGTGCCGTGTTGACGCCGGTAATATACATATTAGTATGCGAGTTGTGACATTTTGCTTTTAAATATTTTCTCGTTTGTGGGTCGCAGGCGGAGATACGGGCGGCCGTCACTAAATTTATCGGGAAGCGGGGCATCGAGGAGGTAAGTATCGTTTGTGTGTGCACTAAAGTGGAGTAGCTACATTTATTTTACGACACGGGTGATGGTGACGACCCGACTCGACGATATCAGATCTCACTACGAAGCGGTGTTGTATAGGTACGACGTCAGGTTTAGCATATTATGTTATGTGTGGTTCGACTTAGAGTTTATGGTATGCGAGTGAAGCCGAGCGGGGTGTGTATGCGCGGCGGCAGGTGGACGCGGCGCGGCTGCGGGCGGCGGCGCGGGCGGCGGGCGGGTGGCGGCCGTCGCTGGAGGCGTGCCGCGCGCTGGTGGCGCTGCGCGACGCGGCGGTGAGCGGGCGCGTGGCGGCGGCCGAGCTGCCCGCGCTGCTGGCGCTGGTGGCGGGCTGGCGGCTCGCGTTCCTGCAGGTGGCGGGCGGCGGGCCGTGCGGCCGCGCCTGCTCCTCGTACCGGCTGCGCGCGCTGCTGTACGCGGCCGGCCTCACCGCCTCCAACAAGGTGCTCGAGTGCCTCGTGCTGCGGTACGCGCGCCGCTCGCGCCTCTCCGCCGACGCCTGCGTGCTCGCGCTCGCCCGCCTCCACCTCGCGCACGGTGCGTACCGGCCACCCGCGCCGCCTCACTCCCACCCACGCTCCCACGATACCGTATACTTATATCTGCGATTATTGTTTCAGAACGATATCGGAGTCTCGACACTAAGCTGAAGTCGAATCCTCTCTCCTTAGAAGAGGTACGTACGTGAACGTTGATTACGTTTTTACTGACCTATTTATTTCTTACTCGTGCATCCTTACTTCCTTATATGCTTATTTTCCGACTATAATTTATTAATGTCCGAGTTCCGTACGTTGTAAACACGTGTAAAACTATCTACAATTAACTTATAATATATTTCATACTGTCATAGGTTCAACACTACAAGTAGCCAGTTATATAACAAAATAACGAGCATTATACGTAGAAATTTTCTCATTTTCCAGATGATTTTGATGACAATCTATTCGTGAGACGACGGTGCCTGTCGAGGAGCGGCAGGGCGCGGTCGAGTTGTTACTAGTTACAAGACGATCACTGTTTTGTTAATACTTTGTTATCGTTGATACCCATTCGTTGTGTTTTTACATTTTAATATAGTTGTTAAGTACATAGATAATGTCACACGTTAGTTGTCTCGTGAGCCCGGCGGTGGTGCGCCGCGGTACTGACGTCCTCGCGTGCGTCCACAGGCCACGTCTGCTGCCTCCTGTACGCAGTACGCAGTACGCAGTACGCAGCACGCAGTACACCATGACCACCTATCATATGCAAACACTTTACATTGTCGCAGTCATATTGTTTATTCACCAAACATAACCTTACCTGCAAATTGCTACATGTATTGTAACTCGATACAAAAGTGTTCACATATTATAGTTGCTCGCTATATATATATATATATATATATATATATGTGTGTATGAGAGAGAGACTAGACCTAGGTAGCGTGTGTTGAATGTTTCCGTCCAGTATTTATGTGGCTACCTCTACGTTCGTACGTCGATGTATTGCTGTGCGGTGCGGTGCAGTAACCAAAGATTTTATTTGTTCCATTTGTCTGGATCGTCCACAGTACAAAATACTATACATAACATATATTAACATATACTTACAACTTTTAAAAGTTAGGTTTAAACCTACGCTCGTTGTTCTTGCTTCTGGTAACGTGAATTGTGATAATATATAATTCTTAATATAATAAATTCTCGGATATGTGATTGTATACAGTAGATTATATCAAATTATATTACATATATATATATCATAAACATTGACATCAATGTTACTGTTACTATATAATATTATTTTGAAGAATGTTTATAATCGGAACTAAGTACTTATCTGGTAGATACTGGTATTACCTACTAAGTTAATATACATATATCGTGTGCAATTTTTTTAAAATAGATGTTCTTTGACATAGTCACTTCACATGTAAAGGCAACAAATGTGAAGAGGGAGGAGCAGCAGGTCTACTGTGGAGTCTGAACTTAATAGCAATTTGTAGCCGACACTTATTAAAATGTAATCCAGACTAAACCGAAACCGATGATAATAGTGCTCAATTGATTCGAGCATCACCAAATGTGGAATTCAGTTGTATTGTGTAATTAAATAAAAAGAAACGGCGCCAATCAGTGTCATTGTTTCGTAATTAATTTCCAGAGTAGACCCGCACACTGACCACACACCACCGCAGGTATCACACCGCAGTGGTCACCGCCACTATACTGTGCGGCAGCGGCGCGTGGTCACTGTCACAGTGCGCGTGCGCTGCGCGTGTGTGTGTGTGTGTGTGTGTGCGTGTGACACTACCAAGTCCTTGTATAACTTTAAACCAAATAAAATACCATTAATGAATAGTTACAGTTGTGTATTATTTATTTGTAAAAATAATCTGTCCTTACTGCTCCTGATGACTTCCGCTTTTATTTACTCTTTGTGAATAAAAAAAAACACATCCGCCTGGCTGCATCAATTATCAGAACCTATTTATTTTGATAATTGATCGTGGCGTTGTTTTGCACACTGCCTTACTTCCGATTGTCGCCAGTTCGATTCCTTGCAAATATATAATGATTTGTATTGTTCATACATAGAAAACATCCAGAACAATGTAGGCATCCATTCACAAAAAAAAATATTAAATATATTTCTATCAGTTGTCTAGTACCCTGAACACGAGCTCTGCTTAGCTTGGTTCTGAATGGCGCTGTGTGAATCGTCCCGAGTTATTGTGCATAATGAACACTGTTGTAAACGATTCACACTTACTGCTGCTACCTCTAGGGGCTCCTAACTTTCCACTAAATATTTAGGGAATAGTGGCACCGTCATATTCAGCCGTGCCGACAATGCTCCTCACCTCCACCTGAGGTCGGGACGCGCGGCTCGCGCCGCAACACGCGCGGCCTCCGGATGGACGCTCCTCCACTCCCAGATATTCATACGGGATTTCTGTTTCCAGTGGTAACCGCGTGGAGGTCAAACTGATATGGTACATAGTCATCAGTCCACATTATTAACGATCCTCTTATAGTTACTGTCCTAGACAGAATCCTTTCTTAAATGTATAATACTATACATTCCTAAGTCTTGTGATTTGGTCTTTTTAACCAACCGAATGACCGAAAAGAATCATATGTTACTGATTGTGGTCGTTCATTTAGTTAGACGGATACAATAAAGCGAACAGAGCAATGAACTCCATTGAACGGCTTACGATTACGAATGTTATGATTCACATGAGTACCGATACACAGACGCAGAGACTGAGATACATTTCTGACATGTGAGCGATACGACGCCTCGCCGCGTCGCCGCGTCGGCGTCGAGTTGTTATCGGTCAGTTCGATTTCCATCTCGATCAATATACCGCGAATGTAATAATAATAAATCTGAATATTGTAAATACAAAGAGTAATGCTAGAATTATATTTGTACGTGTATTCATTAATGGATTATTCTTGTTCATATGCATGCATATAGCGTTATGATCGTTTAAATTATTACCGATATATTTCATTAAATACTAATTGATATTTTCTCAGTTAGACACTATTTTTCTGTAGTAGTCTGTAGAATACAAATGGCCGAGTACGAAGCATAATTCATTAAATGATACTAGGGACATACTATGTAGCCATGATCGATCTGTGGCAGCCGCATATCGAAAAAAATATAACATCTATTTGGTTAGCCGGCTACTGTGTATGCTGCTATAATGCTTTTTGAATCAAAACTATTATTTTTACCAGATATTTCTTGCTATATTTGTCTTGATTCATAACAAGAAATATAATAGTATTTTATCTTATCATTTGCCACTGCCAATGTCACTTATACAAGTCACAAAGTTCATGTCAAACGCTTCTAAAGCCGTCACTCCGTCTGTCATGACGTCATGTGTTTCAATGTTTCGAATCGAATACTTTTTGACACTTGTTGTTGAAACTTTATTGGTGTACGCTGCGCATACTTTGTTAAGTTCAAAAGTTTAGAATGATGTTCAATAGTTTCTGAACTTGTGTTTACTTTGAAGGAAAATGATGTATTTTATTATATTTATATTTGTGTTGTCCCAGCCATGTGGTGTGGTAGTAAATCTAGTGTCAAGTTCTACGACGCCGGCGGGCGTCTTCGGCCGACTGGAGTTGTTCCGCTCGCCGGCGAGGTACGAGGTGGAGAGCTGGGTGGTGATGACGGACGAGACCCACAACGGGTCCTCCACCGGATACAATATCAAGGCCTCCCTGCTCGTGGAGCCCACTTGGGCGGCGCCCGATTATAGTGACATTTTATTGAAATTTCATCGTTCGTATTTAGTACCTAGCTGCTACCCTACCCGCGACTTCGCCCGCAAAGAAGTTAACTTTTTTTTATTGTAGTTAATAATTTTTTAAAAATAATAGTAACCCAAGTTACTCCTTATAACATTAGCTAACTGCTATTGAAAGTCCCGTCAAAATCGGTCCAGCCGTTTCAAAGATTAGCAAGAACAACAAACAGACAGACAATTTTTTTTTATATATGTTTTTGATGTAAGTTCAAGTACCATATGTACTTTTAATTTTAAATTACAAATAGACATAAATTTGTATAGATTTTTATAAACTGCTGCTCTATTTAGTAATATAATAATTTTCTCATCATTACTATACTTGCAGCTGCAGTCTCCTAAGTTGCATCTGCGACGTAATCGTTTGAAGGCAGAGTTCCTCCCGCACCCGTCCGTATGGGACTCACATACTGATTCAATTTTCTATGCCCATTGGAAGAATGGAGTCATTGAGAGTGCTCACTTGGACCCCAGCGATGTGCCTGATGTACTCAACTATAAAAAGTCACTCATCAGTTTATTTCAGGTAAGTAAATACTCACTACCGTCAGCTTCCAAACAAGTGACATGTTCATAAATACTTTGCTAATCATATTGACACATGATGTGTTACAATTACTATTTAATTTCAGTTTCAAGCTGTCGATGGAGAACATGTGGAGTCGGATATTTCAGGAAAATGTGATGTGATTTATGAATCCATATCTACAACAACCTTCAAGAAAACAAAGGTATGTCCATGAAGGTATCTGGTGGGAACTATCCAGTGTTTATATATTGAATTTATAAGAAAGAGAACTGTGTGACACTGTATTGAAATGTAGTATATGAAACTGTTATTAAAATTTTATTTTAAATAATATAACAGTGTGTACAGTATAGTAGTGGGCTCCATGTACATATTGCTCACAAGGTTGTCATAGTCACTGTCAGACAGCCAACCTAACCCAACCACATTTAGATGTGTCAGTATTATTATAATAGTCTATTCAATATATGGCAAATTATGTCATTATAATCTGCAATCTAACATGCAATCTGCAACTATATTACAAATGTAGTGATAGAAACAAAATAGAATTCATCTGAATTTAGCATATTATGTATTTCTGATAAATCAAATATTGTATTTGATTTGGAATATAGTCATAGTTATAAAGTTTTTTGTTGCTTTGCTCATATTTACATTTTTTAAGATATTGTTTGAAAACAAATGATTGAATAGAACTAATTAATTAGAGTACAAAATTAAATATAGTTACTAGAGAAGTAGACAACAAAATATAATGTTTGAGAGCAGTCGGGTGCTTACAAGTGGCACCTGTTCGCTGCACTAAGATATCACATGTGACCAGCTGTCTATACTTTTAAGACAGGGAACATATTTAGCTGAAAGAAAGAAAGAAAAAGTATTAAATAACAATTTACTATTTTAATACTTAATGACAATTGTGTATGGCAACTCGTCCCTGCACAGGATTGTCATTTACTGTAGACATTGACATCTCAATAACTGAGAAATGATGACTAATAAGTTTGGTAGAGTTATTTTCTAGTCATTCTCATATACCTATATGTATGATTGTTTATATACATATATATATATATATATATACATATATATATATATTTATGGGCGGCGTAAGTCACGATAAGGTCGTCGAACAGGTGAGGTGTTCCGCGGAGGAGGAGGACCCGGAGGCGGAGGACGGGTCCGAGGAGGACTCGGAGGACTCGGAGCCGAGCTCGGAGTTGGAGTATGCGGTGGACGCGCAGTCCGGCGCGCTGGTCGCGGCGCACGCGCGCCAGGCGCTGCGGCTCGGGCCCCGCGGCGCCGCGCTCGGCCTGCGCGCGGGGGCCAGCGCGCGCCGCGCCGGGCCCGCCCCCGCCGCCCCCGCCGCCCCCGCCCCCGCCCCCCCCGGCCCGCTGCCGGCCGCGCTGTCTCCGCTCGGGCTGGCGCCGGTGTTCGGGGAGGACCCCTTAGCCGACCACACGGTACTCGCACGCTCCCTCCCCCACCGGAACCTCACATTCGCAAGAAATAGTTCGTTCTCTCTCGATGTTTACGATGTACTCGTTTACGGACTATATAGCTTCGTATTTACGAAGCTACATAGTCCGTCCTCGACATGAAGCGGTCGCGATAGTGTTATCACAGCCGTGTGTTGTTCCACTCGGTAAACGTTATAATGTGCGGCGTTATCTCTCCGCGACCCCTGCACTCCGATAATGACTGCCCGAGATCGCATCCTCACGTCGTAATCTTGTCACCGAGTAAAGTTATCACGTTTAATTAGTTGAAAAATAAGGTAAATTCAAATAAAAAAATTGCAAAATGTATTTTTTTATTTGACGCATTGTTTTATGTAAATAATATTTGACGAAAATATATTTCGTCAAACAAATAGAACACAATGAAATTTGTATATCATATTAAAAAGCTAGGCTGCCTGGGATGACAGATATGGATAAATTAACCTACACAAATACATAAAGTTGAAATTTGTTTGTGATTAAACATTAATAAATTTCTACTGAATCCATGTAAAAGTATATATGGTGTCTTACAATAAAAAAAATTCTGAATGTTTTATCGTTTGTCAGCACTCCATTAACTTACTGTTGAATAATCTTATCCACGGATCCCCAAGGGTGTACTTTGATTAGGGTAGTTAAATAAATTAAACTACGGAAACCTTTCCACAGTGGTTGTTATATTATTTATATTAATAATTATTCAAAGACTATATGTGTTCCAAAAAAAATCTAAATAGCGTGATGTAGAAAAAAGTATAAAAACTAAACAACGCCATCTAGTGGCACACTTAGGAACTAAAACAAACGTAATCTCGTTCGATTGTACATTCTGCCCACCAAGGACAAATTGCATCTTGTCCTTTACAATTATCAACCTGCCCACCGTGATGTACTTTAATCAAATAAATTTACTGTAACTACTTATTATTAACGAAAATAAAATATTACATTCAAAAGAGTACCTTACTCAAAGAAGTTTGAACACAAATAATATAAACTAAACAAAAACCTGCCATTATTTGGCTATTGGTAAAATACACAATTTTGAAGTGGGCCTTTTAAGACATCCATTTTTAGTTTTTAATGTTACTACTCTAATTATATTATCTTGTCCTGGATGAGTAGCAACTATCCTGCCATAAAGCCAACGAGATGGAGGTAAACCCTCTTCCTTTATAGCTACTACATCCCCTAAATTTGGTTGCGGAGTTTGTGATGCCCATCTATAACGATGGAAAAATTTAGTTAGGTATTCTTTAGACCACTGACGCCAAAAATCTTGCACTATCCTCTGTGTATATTGCCACCGCCTTAAAGAGCTCACATTGGATGACGTAAAATCATAATCAGGGGCTGTTCTCAACGGTTCTCCTATCAAGAAATGTCCTGGCGTCAATACATTTAAGCTATCAGGATCATCGTTGAGTACTGATTGAGGCCTTGAGTTTAAACAAGCCTCGATTTGAATGAGTACTGTAGCCATTTCTTCGTACGTTAACGTTGAATTGCCTATTATTCGTTTCAGGTGGTATTTCACTGATCGGATCCCTCTTTCCCAAAGTCCTCCAAAATTAGGGGCGTGCGGAGGAATAAAACGCCATGTGCAACCAAGTATTGCCAGTGATTCTGCTACTTCGTCCATTACAGCTTTATTTTCTGCATGGAACAGTTTTTTAAGTTCAACGGCTGCACCAACGAAATTCGTGCCATTGTCACTCCAGAGTTCTGTACAGGAACCACGCCTAGCCACAAATCGTTTATAAGCACTTAGAAATCCTTCCGATGTAAGGTCGCTCACAACCTCTATATGCACCGCACGAGTGACCATACAAACGAATAGGCATATATATCCCTTATAGGATCTGAAACCTCTGCCTTTAGTTGTTCTGATCTGAATGGGACCAGCATAATCTACTCCACTGTGCTTGAATGGACGTGTAGGAGTAACTCTACTTGATGGCAACTGTCCCATCAATTGGCTTTGAGTTGTACCTGCGTTTTTTATGCATGTTACACATTTACGGCAGTATGATTTTACTAGCTGTTTCCCGCCCAATATCCAAAATTTTGACTGAAGATAGCTTAGAGTCAATTGCAGTCCACCATGTAAAGTTTGCATGTGTGCATCCGCTATCAAAAGTGTGGTTAACGAAGACTGTTTAGGGATCAATAGAGGGTGTTTCTGATTATAGGATAGTTGGGAATGTTCTAATCTTCCACCTACTCTCAACAAGCCCTTTTGGTCTATGAACGGGTTCAATGGTTTCAGTGGACCCTTCAGTTTATTTGTCTTCATTGTACTATTAGTGTTACTAAAAACCTTTAGAAAATGTTCTCTCTGACACTGCCTTACGCACGTTTCCAGAGCATCACTCAATTCTTTCGCAGAGAGGTACTTACTACGAGACGTATCATTCCGTCCTTTTCTGAAATTTAGAAAACGTCTGCAGTATGCAATTATCCTTACCAATCTGTTAAGCGAAGAATATTTATCCCATATAAAACAAGTTGTAACTGTAATATGAACTTTGGCTGTTTCTAGTTCTGTTTCGACATCTTTTGGTTTTACGTACAGTATTTCCTTATCATGCAAGAATCGTGGACCTTCAAACCACATTACATTATTTTTCAGTTCTGATGGATACAACCCTCTGGACGCATGGTCAGCGGGATTGCATTTGGTACCAACATGCGACCAATAATGACTATCTAAATTGGTCAGAATTTCAGACACACGATTTGCAACAAATACCTTCCAACGATTTGGATGACTATTAATCCATGCGAGCACTACTGTAGAGTCAGTCCACGCATGCAGGTAAGTCTTTTGGATGTTCAATACCTTTGCAGTTTCAATTAAAAGTTTAGTCAGTAATACTGCTCCACACAATTCCAATCTGGGAACCGACACTTGTTTGACCGGCGCCACTTTTGTTTTTGCAGAGATCAATGTGACTCGAACATTTCCCTCCAAATCAACTACGCGAGCATACACAACCGCCCCATAAGCCGATTGTGATGCGTCACAAAACCCATGCAACTCAACTTTAACATCACTTGCCTTGGTACCTATCCATCTCGGTATTTCAATTTCAGTTAAAATAGTTAGTTCATTTCGATATTTAATCCATTCTTGAAGTATTTTTTCAGGTACTATTTCGTCCCAATCAATTCCTGTTAACCATAGTTTCTGTATAATAATTTTGAAAAGAATTGTACATGGCGCTACCCATCCCAGAGGATCATAAAAACGTGATATATCAGAAATAATTTTTCTTTTAGTAATTGGTTCTTTCAGGTCTGGCAGCTTTACAGTATAGTGGAAGGCATCGCGTCTACGGTTCCAGGTAAGTCCTACAATTTTAATAAATATCATCTGTCTTTATTTTTAATTCTTCTTTCAGATCATAATAATCTTTCATCTGTTTTTTAATTCTTCTTTCAGATCATCTGTCTTTCTAGATTCCTTCATTTCTATTAACAACTCATTATCATTCGTAGTCCATTTTTGTAACTCAAATCCTCCTTTTATTAGTAAATCATTCATTTCTTTATATATTTTTATACCTTCAGCTTTATCTTGACAGCCCGTTAATAGATCGTCCATGTAAAAGTCAGTCCTTACCCTTCCAGCAGCTAATGGGTATCTATTTTCTTCATCCTCAGCTATTTGTTGCAGCGTTTTTATTGCCAGATAGGGTGCAGATGCTGTCCCAAAAGTAACACGAAGTAATCTATAATGTTTAATTTGATCTTCAATTTGCCATAATATACGCTGAAAATTAATATCTTGTTTATTAACACGAATTTGACGGTACATTTTGACTACATCAGCAGCTAAACAAATAGGCCAAGTTCTCCACCGTATCATAATATGTCTTAATTCAGACTGTAAAGCAGGTCCTACTAACATATAATCGTTCAGTGAACGTCCATTTGTTCCCTTACAGGAGGCGTCGAAGACCACCCGTACTTTCGTTGTATCTTTATCATTTTTTACTACAGCATGATGAGGTAAGTAAATAGCATCAACACTCTCAATTTCATTTACAGGTACCTCCTCCATGTGACCAAGAGATAAGTATTCATTTATTACTTCTTCATAACTTTTCTTTAAATCTTCATTTTTATTTAATCTTATCATTAATAATTTTAATCTTTTTTCAGATATCTGCAGGGATCTACTCACCAACGGACTCTCCTTGAATGGAAGACGAACAACATATTTACCATCAATATCTCGATAAGTAGTATCAGTGTAATATTTTTCACACGTTTTTTCTTCATCGGTAAGTAATTTTTCCCTTGTCAATTCTGTATCTGATATTCCCAGAATTTCTTTAATATTTCATTTTCTTCTATACAGTGCATAACCTTTATTTCAGGATGCGGGTTGGCAGACACTTGAACTACTCCAGATAATATCCAGCCTAATCTAGTAGATTGTGCTACCAATGTCTCCGATGGACTCCTTTTTATTCCATCTTGTAATATACGACAATATACCTCCGCTCCCAATAATAAATCTATGCGATTGGGAGTATTATAACTTGGGTCCGCAAGAGTAACATTCTTGAGATCCTCCCATTCTAATGATTCCACTCTTTTTGTTGGTAGAATACTGGTAATACATTTCAAAACATATGCCTTTATAATAATAGTAAAATTAGTGTCAACTAGAGACTTCAGTTCTATGTTCACCATAGCCTTGGAGATGATATCCTTATCTCCACCCAATCCAGATATTTGCCCTCTGATCGGGATCTTTTTTAAACCCAAATATTGAACTATAGACTCCGTGACAAATGAAGATTGTGATCCTTGATCTATCAAAGCTCGTATAGTGTAACCCAGACCATTTCTCGACTTGGCTTCGACTAGCGCCGTAGCTAGTAAAACCTGATTACTAATTCGACCTGTCGAGAAACAACTTATAGACTGAGTTGGTTTATCTACTTCCACACCTGAGCTAGTAGACGGGACAACACACTCATTGGACGATGACCTTTCATCACTATTAACAACATCACTGTTACCCGTGGGGTGTAAAAGAGAGTGGTGTTTTCTTTTGCACACACGACATTTTATTGGAATAAAGCATGCTTTGGCAGAGTGGTTGCTACCCAAGCAATTAAAACAAAGATTATTTGTTTGTACAAATTGACGGCGATTATTAACATTTTCTTTAGCAAACTTTTTACAATAACAGAGTTTGTGACCTTCCATACAAAACTGACATTTAGCATTGGTGACATGAAATGATTTAGGCTTACTAATTTGAAACCCTTTGTTACTATTCTGAGACTTATTTATTACATTAGGTTTATTATCTAAAAATTCAATAGCACGATAGCGACTAGTCAAAAACTCTTTAAATTGTTCGTAAGACGGTAACTCATCAGACGACTTACTATTATTTGTAAAATTAAATTCCCATTGTCGCCTAGTTTCATAATCTAATTTTAAAGTTAAAATATGTATAACTAAAATATCCCATCCCTTGACATCAACACCAATATTACATAAAGTCGCCAAACAATCATTAGTTGTATCTATCAATTCCTTGATACCCGTAGCGGATTCACATGTTAAATTTCTCTGACTTAAAAACCTTTTCAATATATGATGACAGATGTATTTTTTATTATTATATCGTTCCTCTAATAAAGACCAACACCTTTCATAATTACTGCCCATAATAGGTATATGCTTTAAAACTTGTTCGGCTTCGCCTGTTAAATAGCCCTTCAAATAATGTAGTTTTTCGACATCATCCAAAGTTTGATTTTGGTGAATTAAGGATTTAAATAAATCGTGGAAGGCACTCCACTCCGAATATTGGCCTGAAAAGCCTTTTATATTTATTTTCGGCAATTTTACATGCGTAGAACCACTAGTAGAACCACGCGACTGTTCCGTATTAATATTTGACTGAGCGCTATTAAAAGTTGACAAAATTCTTTTTAAATCACCTTTAAAATTCAGATACATTTGTTCAGTTTCATCATAATAATCATTCGCTACATAACTAGAAGATCTCAATAATTTTGGCTCTACAGTGCGCATTATATCCTTATGACCATTTAAAAAATCAAACCAATACTGATCTAAACTTTCTAACCTTCCTTCTACGTACTCCTTTGTTAGTCTTTCTTTCGGACATTTTTTAAAATTAACTTGTGCCTTTTTAATACGCGAATTAAGATCCTCTTGAAACATAACTAAAGATTCCATGTTTACACAGTAATAATATTATAAACAAATAAAAAACAAATTTTTAATAGAATATTTTAAACAAAGTTCTATCTTTAGTAAACACACAAAATTTATTTCCTTATAATTTAAAAGTAAATTAATATTTATTGTAGTGACTAAAACTGCTATGTATAAAAATTTTTAAAATTATTCTAAGTGTTTAGAAAAGATTGCACCTTAAATAAAAATCGGGCATGGATTCCCCGTCTCTTCAATATTTGTAAAACTATTCTAAGTCCTAAAATTACTATTAACTACATACAATTAATTTTAAAATTTCTAAGTTATTATTTTCCTATATATAAAGTTCAATATTGCTTGTAATTTTCACTCTTCTATGAATAGTTTAATATCTTCTAAATTTTATTGAAATTCTAAGTTAAAATCTTCTAGTATTTAAGACTCAAAATCACTTGGCAAAACGAAATAACTATAAAATGTACTCACAGTTGTTTTCCCACTATTTCAACACAACACAAATTGATGTACTTGCCGCCACTGCTCGCCTTACACAATGAGACACAGTGTTGCCTCACTTCTCGCCTTCAGCTCTGCTTTACTCTTCTCCAGTCCTGTTGTCCTGACAGCGCCCCCACGCCGTCTGAAGCTCCGCTCTGCTGCTTCGCTTCTGCTTCTGCTTCTGCTTCGTAACTACGTTTGCAACAGCAATCCACTGCCCGTAGTTCTCATGTGCCAAAAAATGCACCACCACTAGGATGCCTGCCGAATCCGGCACTCGAAGGACCATGTTGCGGGTGATTAATAAGATGTTGTTGGTCGAGACGATGTATATTAGAGATGGTAATAAACTGATAATATGTACATAGAAATAATGATCTTATATACTAAATAAAAGTAGTAAAATGTAAGGTGGGGTGACACAGTTTAGATACAGCAGTGCCTAGTAGACAATATTGAATTTGTCTTACTAGACATTATTAAATGCAATTATTATTTTATGTATCTAGGTGACTGTGTCCCATAGATATTCCCCCCTTGAGAGAAAAATATATATATATTACACACAAAAAAATTTATAAAAGTTAACTGTAAAATCTAAGATATTATGCACTTTAGTAACAATAAAAATTCATTATACCCAAATAATGACGTAAATCTTCGACTGTCGTGGGTTTAGGGTACTCGTCGATTGCTTGTCATTTTTCTTGCGTCGGTTTCATCCCTTGGCTCGTTATATGATAACCAAGAAAATCTAACTCATTTGTGAAGAACTCGCATTTGCTCATATTAATTGTTTGCGGCGAATAGTTTGAATTCGCTAGCGCTCTCTTTGGTCTGTGCTTGTTTTTTATTCATCGAGATTTTTGCTCCGGTGTCCACCAAAATTCTATAGCCACTGTTAGAGTCGGTTATAGCTAGGCGGTTAGACGGATGAACAGCACAGCGTTCCGTCTTATTCTGCGTCGAATCTAGTTTTCCGACGGTTGTCTATAGGAGCATGTCACGTTTGTATGCCTTTTCTTTATATTTGCGATGATATAATATAAATAATAGTCATTTTTCTGACTATGCAATGACCGTAGGTGCGAATTTGACCCAGATCGGTAGTTGCTGCTTCTGTTTGTGTGTGGCGAGCGATTTTCGCGTATAACAGCAATTTCGCGCTCTGTCGCAATTAGTGACGACAGGTGTGCAATGACGTCGGCGGTGACTGTTGGCTGTACTTTTGTAGACAGCATTTTTGCTTTATTTTTCCAGTTTCAATTTTTCGTCCAGAGATTATATCCAGCAGGCAGTTGTGTTTACTGGGGGCGTAGCACGGCAGGATCCTTGTTGCGCAGTATTGCCAACGACTTTTATGCCTCTTGAATTTCCGAGCCGGTGAGACCCGCGCTGGGAAGCCGGTGGAAATGTGCAATCGTTGGTGGTGCGCAGGATGCCGTCAGACATAGATCTCTTCGTTTGATCTCGTTGTTTTCCCAGGTATCGTCTCGACCACGTCGGGCAGATCACGTCGGGGTCACCACTGTTGCGGGTGATTAATAAGATGTTGTTGGTCGAGACGATGTATATTAGAGATGGTAATAAACTGATAATATGTACATAGAAATAATGATCTTATATACTAAATAAAAATAGGAAAATGTAAGGTGGGGTGACACAGTTTAGATACAGCAGTGCCTAGTAGACAATATTGAATTTGTCTTACTAGACATTATTAAATGCAATTATTATTTTATGTATCTAGGTGACTGTGTCCCATAGATATTCCCCCCTTGAGAGAAAAAAAAAATATATTACACACACAGATAATAAAATTATAAAAGTTAACTGTAAAGTGACTGTGTCCCATAGACCACAATGAATAATCTTATCCACGGATCCCCAAGGGTGTACTTTGATTAGGGTAGTTAAATAAATTAAACTACGGAAACCTTTCCACAGTGGTTGTTATATTATTTATATTAATAATTATTCAAAGACTATATGTGTTCCAAAAAAAATCTAAATAGCGTGATGTAGAAAAAAGTATAAAAACTAAACAACGCCATCTAGTGGCACACTTAGGAACTAAAACAAACGTAATCTCGTTCGATTGTACACTGTCGAAAAACTTATTTTAATATTTTTCTTTAAAGATATGGCAAACAACAAAAACGAAAAGGTAGCGAGAATTAATTTTCTCAGTGACGCCATTTAGTTTTATTTATAGGAACTAACATCTTACTATGGGTACTACTATTACACACTGTTAATCTCTGAAACGACTTAATTCTAAGATATTTAATGTGATAAGTGGCGTAGACTACGTTTATCGCCACGTCACATACAATGCATTTACCTCGCTGCAATCTATTTTGTGAGAGTATGCGAAAAGACGGCGCGGACCGTCCATCGAAATACACGCGGCGGTGTGGTGCGCAGCCGCTGGAGGAGGCGGTGGAGCGCGCGCGGCCCGCGCTGCAGGCCGAGGAGGCCGGCCGCGGCGGGGGGGCGGAGCAGGCCGCCGCCGCCGCCGAGCTGCTGCCGGCGCTGCGGGCCGCGCGCGAGCCCGAGCTGGCCGCGCTGCTGCGGCGCGAGAGCCTGGAGCCGGTGCGGCCCGCGCTGGTGCGGCTGCTGGCGCTGGCGGGCACGGCGGCCGCGCACCGCGCCGCGGACGGGCTGCTGCGGCTGGCCGCGCCCGCGCCGCCGCCGCTGGCGCGCGAGTACCTGGCGGCGGCGGCGCTGGCCGCGCGGCCGCGGCCCGCGCTGGTGGCGGCGCTGCTGCGGCTGGGCGGGGAGGCGCGGGACGCGGCGGCGGGCGGCGCGGCGCTGCTGGCGGCGGCGGCGGCCGCGCCCCGCGCCGGGCCCGCCGCCGCCGCCGCCGCCCGCGACCACCTGCTGCGCTCGCTCGCCAGGTGCAAGGTGAGCCCTCCACTGCGATCGCACGGCTGCGATGCTCCTACTGAATGTTTATACTGCGGCATTCACTATACTTTATAATATAATAAACGACGTCTACAGCTTTTTTGTCATTATACAGTACGACCATGCTTCGATTAGAGATATTTTTAAAAGAACGACATAAGATCGAGCTATATCTACATTAAATGGACAATGTATTTAAGATACTTAATGGGATAAAAAAAATTGCTTAAAATCACTTCATAAAGAAGGGTAAAATGGTTATATTATCTTTAAGAAATAGACATACACCATTGTGAACATTTTTTTTTCTTTTGTTGACCTTTTTAAGGTGTAAAATACTATAATACATAACATATTTTGATTTACTACGTGAAGTTCGGCCAGCGTTTGCAAAATGATCGCAAAAAAAAAATGTGTTTATTTACGACCTCACATTAGAAACCTCTAAATTTATCACTGTTTGTCTCCAATATTATGGATATATTATTATACAAACATATAAACATTCCTCTTGAGTATGTCTCACGACGGCCGCGCTGTCTAAGAAGAAGGAGGACAAACCCTCCAACCGACCCGTGGCTCCAACCTCGCGAGTGTACTGTCCTGAGAAGTACACGCGAATGAGTATCTATTTCGACGGCCTATAAATAATTTAATATCTGTTCCTTGTCCCTTGAAAACTTTCTGAGGCAGTAGATATCACAGTGATGACTCACGGCACAGAGACGTGCTTCGCTTTCTATGTCGCTGATACGCGAACTCTTACAGCCGTTTACGATTCTCTAACGTAGATACGGGATGCCGGTAGTTTCCGGTTCCTTCTCATTGTTCCCTCGATGTATGCCGTCCTGCATCACCGTTCTCGCGTCGTCGTACCACGGATCCTCCCGTAGTGCACGGTGGAAGTCCGCGTATTCAGCCGCGCAGTCGCTACCACTCTGCTCGTTAAGTTTCATCGCGTGCAGATCGTCGGTCACCGTACACCGTCCGAGGCGCCCGATCGCCTGCGGGCGGACACTTCCAGCGCTCGAGTCGCGAATCTAAATATCGGTTCGTTCGGTACAGGAGGAGGAGTGCCGCGCGGTGCGGCTGCTGGCGCTGGGCAACCTGCGGCGCGAGGACACCGCGGAGGCGCTGCTGGAGCACGCGGAGCGCGGCGCGGGCGCGGCGGCGCGGGCGGCGCTGCACGCGCTGCAGGCCGCGCCGCCGGCCGCGCTGCGCCCGGCGCCGCGCCGCCGCCGCCTGCTGGCGCTCGCGTGCGGCGCGGGCCGGCCGCTGCGCGAGCGCGCCGCCGCGCTCGACCTGGCCGCGCGCCGCGCGCCGCTCGCCGCGCCGGCCGAGCTGCGCGCGCTGCTCGCCGCCGCCGCCGCCTGCGGCCCGCGCGAGCTGCGCCGCCTCCTGTGGCAGCGCCTGCGGCAGCTCGCCGCCGACGACCCCGCCGTCGCCGCCGCCCTGCGCGCGCAGCCTCTCACTCTAGTCTCTTGGGACGCTCAGGCGCAGCCCGGTGCGGAACGAGTTTTCTCTCTTTAGAAAAATAAACACATTGTATATGAAAAACTGAAAAAGAAATTAGGCCACAGTCAAAATTTTAAAAATAGCAACAAAATAATACTCGCAGGGACCGGTCTGTTCTGGTTATGAACACTGATTAGACTAATTCCTTTTGCAGTAGCATGTGCTGGTGGTCACTCTTATGAATCAGTATGTTTCATTGTAAACATATACAACATTTATTTGAAAATAATTTAAGCTGAATTTCTTGTTAGCTCATTTTATCTTGAAATCATTCTGAATTGACGGTAGACTTGCATTATTTTTTTTAATATCCATGATATTAGTTGTTCAAAATCAAAAATCATTTATTCGTGTGGGACATTGTAGCTGCTTATGAACATCAAATTAATTTAATTAATACTTGTATTTGTAACATAAAAAAATAATATTTGACAAAATATGTTATGAAGGAGTCCTCTGTCCGTGCAGGCACGTCGTCGGTGCTGGTGCGGAGCACGGGCTGGGCCGCGCTGGGCCAACGCGCGCGGCTCGAGTCCGTGCAGGTGGCGGCCGGCGGGCTGCTGAGCTCCGGCCGCGTGCGGCTCGTGCTGGACGCGGCCGGCGCGGAGAGCGAGCAGCTCGCCGTCGAGATGTGGACGCGCGGGCTCGAGGCGCTGGCCGGCACGCCAGGCGCCGCGTCCGGCGACCGGGACGAGCCGGACGAGCCGGACGAGTCGGACGAGTCGGACGCGGCGGTCGCCGGCGGGCTGGAGCTGGGCGTGGGCGGCGCGCGGCTGGCCGGGCTGCGGCTGTTCGTGGGGCGGGCCGAGCTGCTGGGCCACGTGTGGGCGGGCGCGGGCAGCGAGCCCACGCCGGTGCTGCGCGCGCTGCGGCCGCTGCGGGCGCTGGAGGCGCGCGCGGCGCTGGTGGCGGGCGCGGCGCTGCACTGGCGGCGGCGCGCGGCGGCGGCGCTGGCGCTGGACGCGCAGGCGCAGGTGTCGCTGTGGTCGCGCAGCGCGCGCGCCGAGCTGGAGCTGCGCGCGGCGGTGGCGGGCCACGTGTCGGCGGCCGCGGGCCCGCTGCGGGGCTGGGCGCGCTCGTCCGCCGCGCCGCGCCTGCGCCTGGCCGCCGACCTCGACTTCTACGACGGCGTGACGCTGTGCGTGCGCGCGCACGTGCACGCCGCGCCGCTGCGGCACGAGGCGGCGCTGGGCGGCGGCCGCCGCGCCGCCAGCCTGCCCGCGCCCGGCCGCACGCTCGCGCTCGGCGCCGACAACGACCGCGCCTGCCGCCGCCTGGTCGCGCCCGAACACTAGCGCGGTCGCCGCAGAGACATCCCGAGACCGCCCCGACGCCGATCGTCTTGAAGATTAATTTATTACATAGATCACAGGCCAAAGAGACACTCTAACGATATATTTAATTAAATTATTAAGAATTCGACATAATATATTTAAAGCGGAATCCTCGACAACAGGATTCATTCCAGTCTGTCTCGAATCAGTCACTGTATATTAAAACTAAATATGTATAATGTATGTCAGAGTAATGAGTAATGAATGCACAATAATAGTCACAAACAAAATAAACTAGTTTATGTTATTATTTCTTTATTATTATTTTTTTTTTTTTGTAATCAAATATGACATTAATTAAATTATTATTATATTTATCCTTTTCGTCATAATGTTTATTATAAATATAACGGAATCTCAAATAAATATTCAACAAATAAAACTGTTTTTTTTTTTAAACACCGTGTTACTTTGACCCTAAATAAAACATTAAACGAAATGGGACACGTCGCCGCACTAGGGGCGCGACATAACATCACCCCCCCCTCGTGTAGAGCGCTGGCGCGTGCAGCTGCCTCGGCTCACTGCCGCAGCGCATCGTGCGGTTCACGTCCGCGATCGAAACACACAGTCTACGGTTCGCCAGATACGACCCCCGTAAGCGCACACGTGTGTGCGTGTTTTAAATTTTCCTTCGAGACAATCAACTCAGTAGAAAATTAATGAAAATAATATAAATAGTTATTTGAATGAGTGGTAGAATCAAAACGACTGACTATGACTATTCAAAAGTGCTTGTAATAAGTTTATGGGACACAGCCATTATTATTTTGATGTATCTGGGTACATCAAAATAATAATATCTAGTAAGACAAGTCCAATATTGTATACTGAGCACTGCCGTGTCTAAACTGTGTCATCTCACCTTACATTTTCCTATTGTCATTTAGTATATAAGATATTTTTTTTTTTTCTGTACATATTTACAGTCTATTACTCTCTGTAATATACATCGTCTCGACCGACAACATCGTAATATTAACCCGCAACATTGGTGACCCCGTCGTGATCAAGACGATACCTGGGAAAACAAGAGATCCTGCGCACCACCAACGATTGCACATTTCCACCGGCTTCCTAGAAGCGGTCTCATCCGTTCGGTAATACAATAGGCACAAAAGTCGTTAGAAAAAATAAGGCTGCAAATAGGAATTTCAATACATGATGGAAATTAGTACAAGCAGTCCATGGGCCAGGCCGAAAACTAATTTACTCGTATCTCTCTGTCTGGCGAATTTCGCTGGTGACTCGACGCAAGTGAGATACTGAGATCACGTTTGCCAGCGGAGAGTACTTGGGTGCTTAGAGGCGTCATGCGAGCATTATCTTTTATAAACAAAAATAGCTGTTGGCGTCAGGGAGTGAAAGAGTGGACTGTCATAGATTCTCCAATGCGTTTATTACTAGAACTTATATTACAATGCTTTAGCCCGACATTAATAGTACGGAACGCTATGAAAATAAACTAAAGATGCGCGTGCGGTTGTTACGGCGTTCAAAATCAGTGTGTCGCTGTGTGCGGCCGGCAGCCGGCCGCAGGTATATTGTCCGACGCCCCGCGCCCCGCGCCCCGCGCCCCGCGCCCCGCGCTCCGCGCCCCGCGCCCCGCGCCCCGCGCCCCGCGCCCCGCGCTCCGCGCCCCGCGCCCCGCGCCCCGCGCCCCGCGCCCCGCCCCGCGCCCCGCGCCCCGCGCCCCGCGCCCCGCGCTCCGCGCCCCGCGCCCCGCGCCCCGCGCCCCGCGCCCCGCGCCCCGCGCCCCGCGCCCCGCGCCCCGCGCTCCGCGCCCCGCGCCCCGCGCCCCGCGCCCCGCGCCCCGCGCCCCGCGCTCCGCGCCCCGCGCTCCGCGCTCCGCGCCCCGCGCCCCGCGCCCCGGGTCTCCCCGGGGACATCATCGCGCTCGCTGTTTATAGCTCTTGACAGGCAGGGGGCATATGGTATTGTATGCCCGGCGTATGACACCCCTCTTTGTTTGGATGTCTGTAACCCTTGCTATGCCGTCTCTTCCAGGCAGGACACGTACAACGCGTCCCAGAAGCCACATCAATGGAGCAGACGTCTTCTCCTTGATAACGACGAACATTCCCTCTTTCAGCTCGCCATAGGACCGGTGCCATTTGGTTTTCTGTTGGAGCCATACAACATACTCATTAGAAAATCGATTCCAGAAGTGTTGCTTGAGTAGCTCGATGCGTTGGAAACGCTGAAGAGAGCTAGCTCGGCGATTGACGATATCAGGATGTGGCAAACAGATCAGAGATCGTCCAACAAGGAAGTGAGCAGGAGTAAGGGGATATAAGTCGGATGGATTATCAGATAGAGGTGTGAGGGGGCGAGAATTTAGGATGGCTTCTATTTGAATAAGAAGAGTAGCCATTTCTTCATAGTTTAAGTGAGTCATGTCCAAAACGCGCCTAAGATGATGTTTTATGAAGCATTTCGAATATTAATTCACATAAGCGATGTTTACCTGATAGAAGGATAGGATGTTTGACGTTGTAGTCGTAGTGAGATTCACTAAGCCTGCCACCCACGCGGATGAGGTAGTCAGAACCAACAAACGGTGTCAATGACAGAAGTCTATTTTTATGGGGTAAATGCTTATTGAGTAATAGTAACTCACGTTCCTCAGGGAATGAATCCTGCTGAGCTGTACGTAATAGAACATTTGTGGCATTATTTAATTCTAATAATGATAAGTTATTGTGTAATTTACTTGCATTTTTATGGCAGTTATTAATGAACCTTAAGACAAATGCAAGTACACGTTGTAATTTTGTAAGCGATGAAAATTTATTTATTAGTGATGAAATTAAATTGGTGTTATTATTATTTATTGATAGCTTGTTATTAATATGGAATGTTTGAATTGTTTCTGGTAAATTGGAAGTGTATTTATTTGGATTAGTTGGCCATTGAGAGGAATCTAATTTTAAGAAAGCAGGGCCTGTCCACCACAACGAGGAATTACCTAATAAATCTGCTCTAACACCTCGAGACACTAAATCTGCCGGGTTCGATTTGGTAGGTACATACCGCCAATAATGACAATTTTCTTGTATTTCTAAAACTCGGTGACGTACGAATGGTTTAAGATGGTTTGGTGGAGAAGAGAGCCAGCCTAAGACGATGGTAGAATCAGTCCAAAATACACTACGACTAAATTCAAGAGTAACCGACGTCATTACCTTCATGAATAGTCGTGCTCCTAAGAGCGCGCCACATAGTTCAAGTCGTGGAATGGTGGTGGTTTTAATTGGAGCTATCTTATTTTTGGAAGCCAAAAGACGGACATCAATTGATTCATCGCTAGCTATACTTCTTACGTATATGCATGTACCATATGCCTTCTCCGAAGCATCTGTAAATATATGTATTTCTGTTTTATTTGTTTTGTCGTTTTTAATGCACCTAGGAATTTCAAGTTTATTTAACTGTGCTAGAAACTGTATAAACTCTGACCAAATAATTTCTATGTCTTTTGGGACCCTTTCATCCCAAGAGCATTTATGTATCCACAATTTTTGCATTAATATTTTTGCTTCAACAATGCATGGTGATACTAAACCTAGAGGATCAAACACTTGCGAAATTGTAGACAAAATAAATCTCTTTGTTACTTTATCTTGAGGTGTAATATTAATAGAAAATGATAAATAATCAGTTGAACACTTCCAATAAATACCTAATGTTTTTGCACATTATTTTGGTTTATACTATTTAAAATAAACAAATTATTTGAATGCCACTTTCTTAAATTAAATTTGGCTGAATGAAGTGTATCAATAACACCTTGACATAATGATATACAGCCTTCAATTGTATCATGACCGGACAAAAAATCGTCAACATAAAAATCATGACAAATAGCGCGTTTTACTTGAGAATCACTGGACTCATGACCTAATTGTGTGAGACATCTAGTGGCTAGAAACGGCGCTGATGCCGTGCCGTAAGTAAGTGTATTTAGGATATATGATTTAATTGGGTGGGAGGGATCGAACCTCCATAATATTTTTTGTAATGGACGTTGTGATTCATGTAATAATATCTGCCGATACATTTTTTCAATGTCGGCTGACACAACAAATTTATGTTGTCGAAAGCGTAATAATATAGCTAATAAATCGTCCTGCACAGTAGGACCTACGCGTTGTATGTCATTAAGAGACTTGCCTGAGGACGTAGGGGCAGAACCATCGAATACAACACGTAGTTGTGTGGTTGTACTAGTTTTAAGGACGCCATGATGTGGCAAGTAGCATTGAATTGTGTTTTTATTACTACTACATGTATCTTCATTCAAATGTCCCAGATTGGCATATTCATTTATAAATTCTATATATAGACGTTTCAAATGTACGTCTCTTTCTAAGCGACGCTCAAGGGAAAGAAATCTATTTTTTGCAGCATTATATGAATTGCCTAAAACGTCAGGAGGCTCCCTGAGCGGCATATAAACTACAAACCGTCCATCTATGTTACGCTGTGTAGAATTTATAAAATCACGTTCACATGCCTGTTCTTCTGGAGTGAACTCATAATTTGATGTAATTGTATCTAGTTCCCAAAAGCGGGTTAAGTCGGTATGGTCGTTTGAAAACATACATATATGTTGTTTGGGACTAGGTTGAAAAATGCTACCAGTGGGCTAATTTTTGTAACACGATATGAAATTGTTTCTGTTGAAGTTGTGATGCAATATAAAATCATTTCAATTTAAAAAATGCGATCAAGTAAGGTCGAATGACCGCAACATAAATCATTTCTATCGATAAAACACTACTATGAAGTTGCAGCGGAATATTGTTAATCCGACCAATTTAAAAAGTCAGTACATTAGATAGCTTATACCTTTAGAGGGATACATTTTAAATTATTGGGTTAATACACTAGTTGGTTGATTTGAAACAATTTTTATTGCGTTCAAAAATTACAAAATATACTGCAGCGTTCACTTGTTCTTTTATTTTAATTTTATTAATAGACATTTAATAAAATAAAATAAAGAAAGTCTATTCTATTCTAATGAAAAAATAAGGTTAATAATCTATAATATATAAAGCTGCATTACGGTGACTCACTGATTGACATAGTTGTTCTCCCAGAAGGAGTGCCGGGGGGTCGTGACGATGTATGGGGGAAGTGTACCTCACGCTAGGGTGACCACGAGAAAATTCCGAAAGTTGGGAAAATCCAAGATGGCGGACCAAGATGGCGGCTGAACTTTGTCAATTTCCGTCGGATCGATTTCGTTCAAGCGGTAGTTCGTAGCGGGCCGCAAACGGTTGCATTTCAGGTTAAAAGAAAAAAATAAAATCCAAGATGGCGGCGTGAAAAATGGAAATGAAAATTGTAATTTTTCGAGGGTTTCAAAAACCGAAATTCCCAGGGTAGTTGCGAGGGTGCTGGCGACACCGGTTGTGGGGCATAGGAAACTCGAAGGACCCGGCCTCTAGGGAAAATTATGAAATTTCGAAAATCCAAGATGGCCGCCGAGTTGGGGGCGTGTGAATTTGGTCCTAAAAATCCGGATTATTTTCAAAGTCATTTTTTAGATACAGGGCAACCCCGCAGCGAGTCGGCTTCTATGGGGCGATGATGGGTCTCGGTAAGAAGTATGGCCAGCGCTAAAAAGAATTCCCGAATTTGGGGTAATTTGGGAGAAATGTCCCAAAAAGTGGGAAAAAATTTTTTCGGCATTTTTGACAAAAGAGGCATCAAGGCCTATCGAGAAACATCCCCTATAGGGTTTTAGGTGGGTTTTGTTGGAATTTGCTGGCAACACCCATACATGGTTTGACCAAAATAGAAATTGGGGTGTCTCTCCAAAAACTGAAATTCCTAGGGTACTTGCGGGGGAGCTACCGATCCTTATTATAGGGCGTTGGGAGGCTGAAAGACCCGGCCTCTAGGGAAAATTATGAAATTTCAGAAATCCAAGATGGCGGCCAAGCTATGGGAGATTTAGTTTTTGGAAAAATTTTGGGATATTTTCAATCGCGTTTTTGCTGCACATGGCAACCTCGAAGCTTGTCTCTTCCTACGGACTTGGATAACTCTCAGTAGAAAGGTTTATAAAGCCTAAAAAATTTCCCCGATTTTGGGTTAAATTTGGAGAAAAGTCCCATAAAGTGGGAAAAATTTTTTTCGACATTTTAAATGAAAAAGTCTTGTTGGTCTACCAAAAATCGTCCCCGAAGGGGTTTAGGTGGATTTTATCGATATTTGCTGGCAACACCCATACAACATGGTACAAATTTTGAAATTGAGATGTAGCTTCAAAAACTGAAATTGATAGGGTACCTACGAGTGTGCTAGCTCAACAGACTGTGCGGCGTCGGATAGCCAAAGGACCCGGCCTCTAGGGAAAATTATGAAATTTTAGAAATCCAAGATGGCGGCACAGATAGGGGAGTTTTGCTTTTCGGAGAAAATTTGGGACATTTTTAAATGTTGTTTTAGGACACATGGCAACCCCGCAGCGAGTCGACTTCTATGGAGAGATGATGTCTCTTGACACAAAGTATTACCTGGTATGAAAATTTTCCCCGATTTTGGGGTATTTTTTGAGACAGGTCCTAAAAAGTGGGAAAATTTTTTTTCGACATTTCAAACAAAAGAATGATGAAAATCTGTCAAAAGTCATCCCCTTAAGGATTTTTGGTGGTTTTTGTCAAAATTATCTGGCAACACCTCAGATCAGTTTTCTTAGGGAATAGTACAAGAAGAAGTCACCGAGGCTCTACATAATGTATGGACGAAATGTTTCTGCTACTAGGGTGAATACGTCAAAAGTATTAAGAAGTAAAAATCCAAAATGGCGGCAGAGATAGGGGAGTTTTGCTTTTCGGAGAAAATTTGGGATATTTTTAAATGTAGTTTTAGGACACTTGGCAACCCCACAGCCAGTCGACTTCTATGGAGAGATGATGTGTTTCCACACAAAGTATTACCTGGTATGAAAATTTTCCCCGATTATAGGGTAATTTTTGAGATAGGTCCTAAAAAGTGGGAAAATATTTTTTGGACATTTCAAACAAAAGAATGATGAAAATCTGTTAAAAACAATCCCCCTATTGATTTTAGCTGGTTTTTGTCGGAATTATCTGGCAACACCTTACA